CAAGGCATAGCATTGTACCACTGCACTGTGGGACTGGCCTACTCAGTAAATGTTTTCAAAACTATTTTTTTTTGAGAGGAGTTTTAACTAATAAATAAAGAAAATAATCACTGAATACACATATTTTGGGGTTGTCAGAAAAGTCATGAGATATTTTTTTTCTGTCTAAAAATGCATCATGACTTTTCTGACTACCCAATAATATTTCCCAAAGAAGGTTACTAAGATTTTCCTGATAAGCAATGGTTTAACTTAAATCATTTAAATAATGTATCTGTCTGAAAGCAGGAGCCTGACTTAGGTAAAGTCTTGAAACTGTATCTGCCCCCAAGAATGTATGATTCTCTCCCAATCTTAGAAAAGAAACAGGAAAGAAAAAGATAATTAGTCTGGGTTATCACAGAAGCTTCGAGAGAACAAAGTATATTTTGCTGCTTCATAGTTATCATGATCATTCAAAGATAGCCACTGTTCATTTTTCTAAAAGTTTTCTGCATAACATATGTATTGAGGGGTCAGCAGGTGGCATAATGATTAAGGTGCTGGACTCCCATATGGCCGATGGTGGTTCAAGTCCCAGATCTGGTGGCTTGCTTTCTCACTTTCCCTCTCTCCCGCTATCACTCTCTGTCTCTCCCTCTCTGTATCTCTCTAGTAAAAATTTTTTTAAAATAATAATGACAAATAAAATTAAATAAAATAATTCTTTTTTTAAAAAAGATACATATCGAAATCACTTTGTCATGAAGGCAACCAGACATGTTAAAAAGTCAAACAACAGAGAAGGATATAATGTGAAAAGTAGTATTTCTCTGAGCAACACCACTAGCGCATGCACACACACACACACACACGCACACCAGTGGGAGATGCGATTATGAAAGAAAAATCAAACAGGTGTAACGTTGCTGTCTTGAAGATGGAGACAGGAGGCAATGAGATAAAGAATGCAGACAGCCTCCAGAAGCCCAAAAGGGTAAGGAAACCAACTCTTATCTAGAGCCTTGAGAAGGAATGCAGCCTCGCAGACACCTTGATTTTAGCCTAGTGAGACTCATGTAGGAAGACATCAACTCTCCAGAATTGTAAGGTAATAAATGATGTTGTGGTCGGCTGTGAATGCAGCAGTAAGAAACTGATACACCCAATTACACATGAGATGAAATTATTGCAGGGGTTGGGAGAGGTGTTCCTTATCCTCAGAGATACTGATTCAGTAGTCCAGGGAAGGGCTGAGGGGTATTTATTTGAGCTCTCCAGGTGATACCGGTGCATCTAATTGGGACCTGGGGAAGGAACCCTGATACAGAGTATACAAGTATGCAGAAGTCACCGCCTCCTAGTCACTTGCTGGCCTAGAAGATGGTCTAGGTAGGTGATGGAAGATGTGGCTGGGGCTGCCCTGGGGCACCAAACTGCCACCAACCTTAACTATATCTCCTAAGTGGTAATGTCATTTAATCTCATCAATATGACCCTAATCTATTTTCAGCTTGACTATCAATTGCTTATCAACACAAATGTTCCGCTCTAGCCAGAGTAATCTATTCACTGTATATTCAATGGGTCTTGGAATTTTTCTCTCTGTATTTGCTCTTAAAATTCTGCTATAGGGCCAGCTGGTGGTGAGATGGTTAAGGTTACTGGATCTCACATGGCTAGCTGAGTCCCAGACTGGTAGTTTGAAAAACACAATGGGAACATGTATGTACATGCTCTAAATCTCAAGGGAAGAATGAAGACGAAGGAATTGCAACATGATCATGCCCCCTGAGGGATTTTCTCTCTCTCTTCTCTTTCTCTCTCTCTCATGAGTACACATGCCCTATAGTAAAAATTTAAAAGAATTCTGCTTTATGCTTGTATTAGCTGGGTCCTCTAGGAAATAACTGCCGAGAAGAAATTAGAAGTGTTAGAGTTTAATGGGAGGCTGGTAAGTAACACCCGTGAAAGAGGAAAGGGAGAGAAAGCAGAATCAAGCAGGGAAAGACTCAGACCATGGTGCAGAGCTGACAAAGTTTCAGTCAACTCAGCCAGAGCTCTGCAGCACATATTTCCCATTAGAGGAGTCCCACATTGGGCAAAAATCGTCAGGCCCTAGGTCCCGTAACATTTAATCATTAGTTGGGGGATCCACACAAAGAGCATGGCTGAAGTGAATCCTAAGGAGAATGCCAATATTTGAAAGTTGGGAACATGAGAAACTCACATAGGAGGGCCTGGCAGGTGCTGTGGTGCTGGACTCCCACATGGCTGACCACAGTTCGAGTCTCGGGCCTGGTGGCTTGCTCTCCCACTTTACTTCTCTCCATCCCTCATCAAATTTAAAAATGATAATGTTATAGCTCAGTTTGTTTAATCATCACTAATTTATAAAAAATAACAGCAATATGCTATTTGAAAATTATATACATTAAAAGAATGGAAATGGACCAATGTGTGAATACTTCACATTTTGAAATACAAATGCTTTACAAAGTTATTTCTAATGAATTATATTGGAAGCTAGGGAAATAGTTAAAGAAAGCTTACATTTATTGTTAATATGAGAGAAACGGAACTATTATATCTGGGCGGCATTTATTTATGGAAGAGTGGTTTTATTTCCAGTGTGATACATGATGTTGATTTCTAGATGGAGAAGTACTTAAATACAAGTCTCAATTGTATCTTCAACATTCTTATTTGGGATTTTTAAAAGTCTTTGCTACTTTAAAAAGAAAATTGCATTTTTTTTCCTTTTTGGAGACAGGCATTATTCAAGTATGTGAGATTTTCTAGCCCATTTGAAGCAATTTCAATTCCTCGGATTGTAAAGGTCAGGAATGGGTGAATGTCTGTGACGGGGGAGGAGAGGGAGATGGAGGGCCAAGATAACTGGTGAGTCAGAGGCAATCAGACCACTTGTGAGATTACAAGAACTGTAGAGAAGAAGACAGTGAATGAGCTTTGTGGGTTCTATCCCTATTGGACCCCACTTTATGCAGTCTCAAGACCTTGATCAATTAGTGGAAAAATTCCACTTCCTTACCCTCCAGCCAGCTAACATCTCGTTAGATTGTCAACTACAGAGTAGATAAAGCCACATAGATACCATGGATACTGCACAGGGGCCAAATATTCCACCTTTGTGTGTAAAAAGTAGAAAACATTGTATGTATGTTGGGGTACCATATTTTTCTTTCTGTCTTTCTCTTTCTTTTTTTTTTTTTTTTTTTTTTTTTTCATT